AGAGAGAGAGAGAGAGAGAGAGAGAGAGAGAGAGAGAGAGAGAAATTCTCCTTCTTCTTTGAGAACCTAAAGCAAAATTGATATCCAGGGATTAGTTTCATCAGAAAGGAAGACAATTACTAGAAACTCTGACAGCTTACTGACACACTGATGGAGAGTGAGACAAGATGGAGAGTGAGACGAGATGGAGAGTGAGATGGAGAGTGAGACGAGATGGAGAGTGAGACGAGATGGAGAGTGAGATGGAGAGTGAGACGAGATGGAGAGTGAGATGTCGAGTGATCGAGTTGCACATTTTAGCAGTTTATAGCCAGGATTTAATGTTGTGGAAAGTCTGAGAGACGAGATAGTTCCTGTTCTCACTTACAGCTGCGATAAACACTCATCCCTCATCAACCTCCCTCTCTCTCTCTCTCTCTCTCTCTCTCTCTCTCTCTCTCTCTCTCTCTCTCTAAAAATAAATGCAGCTTGTCATGTTGCTGAGAAACTGCAAAGAAGTGTAAACTCCTCTGTCCTGAAGATGTCGGAAAACTTAAAGTTACAGCTTTACCTCTGACTGTTACAAAGCGCTGACACTGGAGACTCCTTCCATAAATGTTATATAAATCACAGAAAATGTCACCATATCTACGATTACACGTTTTTTAATCTGTTTAGCCCCTATGAAAGAGCTGTTACCATAGAAACGGTAACGTATTAGACCGAGCGCATTAATATAAACCTGAGACTGATGTTACAGCTGCAGCGACTTTGATGCACAACTTCTGACCAATCAGATCTGAGCTCTGAATCATACTGTGGTGTAAATGTAATTAAAGCAGAATAAAACAGTAGAGTTAACGCTGAGCAGATACACACTAATCATGTAAAAGCAATAAAACACCTGTGTGTGTGTGTGTGTGTGTGTGTGTGTGTGTGTGTGTGTGTGTGTGTGAAACCCATACAGATGGTGAGTAAGGTATGTTTTTAACACTACAGGTAAAATCCTCCACGCTTAGCATTTTACACTGCTAACAACCAGAACGTCTGACATCCAGGAACCTGAGTGTGTGTCTGCACTGAAATAAACAGGAGCCATATCGCTATATTGCTCATGCTAATAAACCTCTCCCTGATTAGCTACGCACTCGGAGCTGCTCAAACAAAAACATCAAAACACTCGGTGTCTGATTACGCAACTGTTCAGCTCCTACAGCAGAACAAACACACTGTCTGCGTATTTTATTATTTGCTCATTGAGGAAAGAACCTGCTTTTGATGTACAGTGTGTGTGAGAGAGAGAGAGAGAGAGAGAGAGAGAGAGAGAGAGGGAGTGTGTGTGTGTGTGTGCCTTTGATCCATCCGTGTAGGATAAGCGACAGGATATGGAGTGAGAGTGAGTGCATGTGTGTAGGTGTTCGAGAATAAGTCTTTAATCTAGTCAGCTTAGCTGTGTGTGTGAGTGAGAGAGAGTGTGTGTGTGTGTGTGTGTGTATGAGAGAGTGAGAGAGTGTGTGTGTGTGTGTGTGTGTGTGTGAGAGAGAGAGAGAGAGAGAGAGAGAGAGTGTGTGTGTGTGAGTGAGAGAGAGAGAGAGAGAGAGAGAGTGTGTGTGTGTGAGTG